TCTTCATGAACTTTGTAGCCACGTATTGCTTATTGCCTTTAATTATTTCCATTCTTTATTGTCCCCACACTGTGTTATCAGCAACGTGAAGACCAGAGTATTATTCAAATTTGAATCTATAACATATAGCATAATCCTTGGTATATTATAAGACATCAAATGTAAATTGGGAAATGAATGAAGTTATCTGGTGATGTGGAATTGAAATGAACCACATTTATTCATGCATACCTATTCTTTATAATACAAAATATTTCTTTGTAATACATACTGCCAGGTGCTAGAGATAATGTTCTGATCAACACACTCTTCTGTGGGTAACATTTTAGTAAGGACACAGAGATTATATATCTAATGGCAGCATTTATTATTTAGTTACAATTACAAAAAAAAAAAGTGCTGTGACTGAGAACTAAGAGTGCAGTGTAAAAGTAAACAAAGAGATATATAGTCTAGGTGGTCACTGCTTCTTTGAAGAACTATCTCAGATATTTCATATATAACTAGGAATTCAGTAGCCAATGCATGGAGAAGGAAACTTGTGGACGTAAGGAATAGCATTTGCTGGAGCTCTGGGGCAGCAGGCATTCCAGTATGTCCTGGAACTGAAGGATGACTGGTGTGGTAGAGATCAGATAAAGAGTGACACCAAAGGAAACATGGGTCAGTTACATTAGAATTTTGTGGAACAGACTTAAATACATGGGCTGGTTATAAAAAGATTTAGGAGATAAAACCAAATGGCTGCAGTGAATAAATTGGAAGGAAGCAAAGGTAGATACTGTGAGAGCAGTTCAGAAGTCAATGTGATAGTCCAGGCAAGAAAAAATGATAATTTGATCTCAAGTTATCCCAAAGAGATGGAGGGAAATGGATGCCTTTCAGAAATATTTAGAGATAAAATCAGCTATTTTATCTCTAAAATAGAGATAAAATATTTGGAGAAATTGGTTTTTAGGGTCATAAAAAACAAACAAACCAAAAATAGTTGGGGGGAGGGAAAGGAACTAGATCTGTCCAAAAGAAAACAGACTTCATAAATACACTAGAGCTATTGTATTTACATGGTCAAACTAACAATAATTTCCAATTGATTTAAAAGATACCTAATTGCCAATCTTACTCCCCATCTTTATAAGACTGACTCCTGCATCTTTATTGGAATGAAAAAGAATGTGGAAGGCAAAAATTCATTTGAGATTCTTTATAAACTTTGAGTACCATGGGGCTGAGTGTTTTCAAACTCTTTTGGATAAAATCTTTATGTGACATTTATTATTTATGTTCCTGGTTCATCAGACATAAATCAACCATGTTTCCTTGTCCTGTGTTTACAGAAAGACTACCAGTTCTCAGCCTTCTTCCACTTGGACAGAGCCATGCCACTGAGGTCTAGTGTGAGTAGAAATTGCATACCTCTCGTAAAACACACTAAGTAAGCCTCCATATACTCTCTTCATATGTGTGTCAACCAGCTGAATGCAGAGGATACCTGAGAGGCACACCGGGATGAGAGAACCACAGAAGTGAACTATTGTGCTATTTGACTCCCTTGAGTATGATTTTTCTGTGGACCCTCCAAACTCACATGATATTGTTATAAACAAAATTCTATTAATTTGAACCACTGAGATTTGGGGGGTGTTTGTTACAGAAGTTGACTAACATAATATACAATGCTTTTTTTGTTATTTATTTAACAAGAAATATATATGCATATTTGCCAAGGAATTCTCTGAAGCACTTCATAAATAGTAAATCATTTAGTCCTTACAACAACCCCATAAAATAAGTAATATTATTATTCGCGTTATACAAAAGAGGAAACAAAACATAAGTTTATACAGCTAACAAATAACAGAGCCAATATTTACCCCCCCCACACACACACACACACTCTACTGTTAACTATAATACCTATATTTAATTGAGTATTCTTTTAAAACTGTTTATTTGAGAAACTACGGTTTGGTTTTTCCAAAAGTTTTAAACTCAAACTGTTTTTTCCACACCCCTGACGAGGTTAAGACTGTTATATCAAGGCTAATTTTATGGAGAAACCAAAAAGTACATTTGGCCTAAATTTCACATTCAAAAAAGAACCTTTAATGTAATGTTGTTACATTTAAGTCATTGTATTTTGTGTGTTTTATGGTTGAGCTAGTCAAATGTAAAATATTAACATTTTTTTGTGACTATGGTTTTACACTTCGTTTTCTTTCAAATTACCAGGGAGCCTAAATAATTGGACGTGGCCCAGGCAGGCTCTTAGTGTCTAAGGGCCCTGTTTTGCACACTCACTGGTAAGTATTAAAAATATATATAGTTGTATACCCTATGGAGCTCTGAATGAAGTCAACACATCTCACTGAGTATCTAAAAGCTTGTAGAACTTTGAGTTATAGGAACATTCCATGGTACTACCAGGTAAGCCTCCCATGAAGCTGTAATAGGCAGGGAGAGGCTGAAGAAGCTAATCTCTTGTCTTGAAATGAATTTCAAAAACCTTTGATGTTTACCTAATTTGGTTAAAAAATACATGGTTTAATCTCCATATCTCATACGAAGTTGCTAGACCACATCTAATTAGAAGTTGTATTATTGACAAAGGAGATACTTGACTAGGGCACCTGTGCCATGGGATCTGCAACTTTAACTTGGCTCTATTGAAAATAAAAGAAAGATCTGTGGTTAATGAAATGTCAAAAATGTAACATCTCTAATGGTTTGGCTCATCCCTTCAGAGTGCACCAGAGAGTAGGCACTGCTATTAAACTAAAGTCCCTACACAAGCTGAGAATTTTGACTTGGGAAGAATATTTGGTTTTCTTTCTCTATCTTTCTGTGGGTCATTTTTTTCATCCTTTCGTAAACTAAAATAATTTCTTCCTTTAAGGAATAATTGTATTCATGAGACTTGAGATTAGAGTGACACAGTTCTTATGTTGTGCTGTCATTTTATCCATCTACATAAATAACATGCATATGCGATTTCTGTCAGATAGCTGATATGGTCCTCAGTGGCACTAGTTTAATTGCATATGCTTGTGTTTATTTTTGCCTGTCATAATTTATTAACTTTAATTATCCAAATTCTTCTTCCATATACAGAACTATTTCTGGTTCAGTTTAAACTCCATTTATAATTTTATTGGTTTTCTATAGAGATCTAATCAGGGAAAATAATTAATGTTTTCTTAAAAATGTCTTGAGTGGTATAGGGGAGAAAAAAAATCTTTCCTCTACCCATGTTAGGTCTCAGCTGGGGCTCTGTAACAAAAGACTAACAAACGAAAATCATACAAATTTATTTAATATAGATTTTACATGACACGGGAGTCTTCATTAAGGAAGTGAAAGTTCAAAGAAGTGGCAAAACCTAAGTGCTTATATACTAAGCTGAACAAAGAGAAGCAATTGTGGAAAATTAACCAAAATATATGGTGACACTAAAGAAAGATAAAAGTCGTTTTTTGACAATATCTGTACAGAATTTTCTCAGCCTGGGCTCCCCATCTCTTAGGACATTCTTCTTCTCTGTTAAAGAGAGGACATCTTTCATGTGGAAGTTTCCTCTCCTGCCTTCAGGAAGGAAAGAGGAGGCCCAGTGTTTTGTACTTGCTGTTTTGCAAGTGCCTTTAGATCAAAATAACCTTCATACCAAAGTGGCATATTTTGGAGTGACATATACTAACACCCTTCAGCAGCATGATAAAACAGACCAATATATGAGGTTCAGTGATCAAGATTTGAGTTCTAAATTTGTTTCACTAATATTGAATATTGAGTATTGAAAATTTCCTTAAAATGTTTGAGCCTTAGTTTCCCCATATGTTAAAGGTAAGAATCACTAGTGAAACTACCATTATAATGTAAATGAAGTAACAATTTATGTGAAAGCACATAAAAACACTAAAGTTCAAGGTAAATGTTAGGGTTTTTTTTTTTTAAGTTTATTTATAAATTAATAAATAATGAGGGACGCCTGGGTGGCTCAGTCAGGTAAGCATCTGACATTGGCTCAGGTCATGATCTCACGGTTCTGGAGTTCCAGCCCCGCATCCGGCTCTGTGCTGACAGTGCAGAGCCTGGAGCCTACTTCAGATGCTGGGTCTCCCTCTCTCTCTGCCTCTCCCCCGCTCACACTCTCTCTCTCAAAAATGAATAAACATTGAAAAGAAATAAAAAAATAACTATTGAATGTGTATAATAATACAGTAGAGATTTTCAGTGTCTTCTCTAAAATTTCATTGATTTGTTTATGCCAATCTAAGGAAAACATTACAAGGCAAGGATAAATGAAAGATAAGGAAATATACATGGCACTGTTTAATTTTTTATGTTAGAAATTTCAAATTAGAAGAGAACACTATTTCTTTGAACATTCGATTCATTATATGCAGTATTCATTTAAAAATCTAAATCACTGAAAAAGACAACTTTATATTAGGTGTTAATATCTGACTCAAAAAACTCTTGTTTTATAACAGGTTGATTTGTTATGATTTATTTCTTAATGACAGAGAAAACTTTTTGCTGAATTTCCTTGGTATTCATTTGTATTTGTTATTTTCTGAAAGAGTTTTAGCACAAGGCTCCACACTAATTATCTAGAGTAATGCAGATGGAACATACCTCAAATTAGCAGAAAACTCAGTGTGGAAAGTGTTGCCACACTATTTTTCTTTTGAAAAAAATCTTTTCAGTAGGCACACACTCTGGTATCTGTTGATGACCAAGGTTTTTTGAAAGAGAAAATAACTTCATGAAATGAATAGGAGAAAAGAGACCATAATGGTATAAATTATTACGATACTTAAAAATTTGAAATTAGCCAAATTGTGAAATAAGGGTATAAGGACCTAGTACTTCTACATCCTCCTATCCCACTGAGTAATCCAATAGCTGTTTAAAGATTTGTTATTTCTATGATTTTCTTTTGACACATTTTAAATGTCATTAGTGCTATATTTTAAAAATCACCCTTCATCATTTTTATTTATTATGGCTTTCACAGTTTTGAATGTGATTTACTAAGTTCTTTCCAAAAGAATGTGTCTGAATTTCCCAATGAAAAATGAATATAATATTATAAACCTTATTTTACCAAAAGTTATAACCTTGCTATAAAATTGTTGAAATATATAATATTTTCAGGTAGGCTAAATCGATCCTGAAAATATACACTGCCGTCTTCAGTGTATTTAACACCAACCATAGGGGTACCTGGGTGGCTCAGTCAGTTAAGCGTCTGAATTTGGCTCAGGTCATGATCTCACATTCCAGGAGTTCGAGCCCCACGTTGGGCTCCATGCTGACAGCTCATAGCCTGGAACCTGCTTTGGATTCTATGTCTCCCTCTCTCTCTGCCCTCCCCTGCTCATGCTCTGCCTCTCTTATTCTTAAAAATAAATAAATATTGGGCGCCTGGGTGGCGCAGTCGGTTAAGCGTCCGACTTCAGCCAGGTCACGATCTCGCGGTCCCTGAGTTCGAGCCCCGCGTGGGGCTCTGGGCTGATGGCTCAGAGCCTGGAGCCTGTTTCCGATTCTGTGTCTCCCTCTCTCTCTGCCCCTCCCTCGTTCATGCTCTGTCTCTCTCTGTCCCAAAAATAAATAAACGTTGAAAAAAATAAATAAATAAATAAATAAATAAATAAATAAATATTAAAAAATAAAAAAAAAAAACCAACCATTGTTGATAGTGCTGCTATAAACATGGGGGTTTATGTGTCCCTTTGAAACAACATACCTGTATCCCATGGATAAATGCCTAGTAGGGTAATTGCTGGGTCGTAGGGTAGTTCTCTTTTTAGTTTTTTGAGGAACCTCCATACTGTTTTCCAGAGTGGATGCACCAGCTTGCATTGTCACCAACAATGCAAAAAAGATCCTCTTTCTTCACATCCTTGCCAACATCTGTTGTTGCCTGAGTGGTTAATGTTAGCCATTCTGACAGGTGTGAGGTGGTATCTCATTGTGGTTTTGACTTGTATTTCCCGGATGATGAGTGATGTTGAGCATTTTTTCATCTGTCAGTTGGCCATCTGTATGTCTTCCTCAGAGAAGTGTCTATTCATGTCTTTTGCCCATTTCTTCACTGGATTATTTGTGTTTTCTGTGTCCATTGGTGGGTGAATGGATAAAGAAAATGTGGTGTATATATACAATGGAGTATTACTCGGTAATCAAAAAGAATGAAATCTTGCCATTTGCAACTATGTGGATGGAACTAGAGGGTATTATGCTAAGTGAAATTAGTCAGTCAGATAAAGACAAAAATCATATGACTTCACTCAAATGGGGACTTTAAGAGACAAAACATGAACATTAGGGAGGAGAAACAAAAATAATATAAAAATAGGGAGGGGGACAAAACAGAAGAGACTCATAAATATGGAGAACAAACTGAGGGTTGTTGGAAGGGTTGTGGGAGGGGGAGATGGGCTAAATGGGTAAGGGGCATTAAGGAATCTACTCCTGAAATCATTGTTTCACTATATGCTAACTAATTTGGATGTAAATATAAAAATAAACAAACAAACAAACCACCCATACAGAATCAGTCTGAAATGATTATTTTTTAAATGATCAAATATGTTTATTTTCTGACTCTTCTATGAATACATTTGGAATTACATACTCAAGTATTATGTTTTTTTCTTCACAGAATCATGGATCATGTTTAACTTTTGTGTCAGTTACATGTAACAATAACTGTGGAGTCAAGTAATAATTGGGGAATTTCTCCAGCAGCTCATAAAATTATATTTGTGTCTTACTTGCAAGCATTGAGGGGTGACAGGTTGAGAAGGTTAAGATCTTTCTGGAGTGGCATCAGAGGTTGTTTAAATTGCAATTACAGTTTATAGTGCAGCTGTTAAAATCCACCAAACGAAATTTTCAAAATGACCTTTTCCATTTATCTAAGGAATTTTGCCAAATGTTTAATTTGTAGACATCTCACTCGGGCCCTTTTCCAAATATACATCTTTGAATGAATTATCTCATCTTTAGCCTTCACACATAAAATTGAATGTCTATGTAGGTGACCTATAATATCAGTGGAGTTCACTCTGCTTCATATTGGTGATGCTTTCAGACATGTAACTTCCATTTAAATAAGGTAAAATAGTTACTAACTCTCCTGAAAAAAAGAGAACATCTTGGAGAATTAATTTTTTAATGTCAATTGAAGTTCCCATACAAGTATTATAAATTTAATTTCTGAAATCTGTGTGTAAGATTGGAAAAAAATGTGGAAATGTCAACATCAGTGCACTTATCTGACCCACGCAAATATCAAGTGATAGATGAAGAGAATACATTAAGGTGTCTTTAATAATTCCTACTTACCCATATCTATATTAATTATATTTTCAACCTCTAAGAAGGAAACATTACGTATTTAATTTTCTCATTGAATCAGATAGTTAAAATTAGCCAAACGGTAAAATACTATTTGAAAATGGATTTGGCTGTGGCTTGTCTTGATATCAAAATGGGCTAGTTTTAAATTATAGCAAGTAAACTGGACAAGGGTAAGCAATGTGGTTAATTTAATTAGCCTCTTCTCTTTTAGATCAGGAAAAGGTGATAAATACCTGAAAGACCTCTGATGCTTCTCATAGGTAAAGTGGCCTTGTCTGTGTTACCCTAAATGTTCAGGATAATGAAGACTCTATTTTCTCACTAGCTACACTGCCAGAATATTTGAAGGCTAAAAGCTTAAGTGTAGAATCTAAAATTAAATAGACCATGATGTACAAATAAGCATGTGTATTTTGTAGTAGTAAAAATAAAGTCTTAGAGGGTCTCAGTTTGAATCTGGGATCTATTACCTAGGAGCTATGAGACCTTAGATGAATTACTTAACATTTCTAAGCTTAGATTTCTTCATCTAGAAAGTGGGAATAATAATTGTACCTGCCTGTCAAAGTTTTATGTAGAATAATAGCAAATAGCCAAGAACAAACTTTCAGCACAGAGATTAGCAATTTATCAGCACTTGGTAAATGATAGTTGTTGTGACAGTTAAACTAAATTAATATTCAAACAAAATTAATATAACAGCCAACATTCTCCCAAAGCACAAGAATATACACACAGGCGCGCGCACACACACACACACACACACACACACACACACAGACTAGTTTGACTCCCAAAAGAAGCATATATGTCCAGTATCCATACGAGTAGTCAAAGTAATCCAATATATATTTAGGTTATTATAATTGTATTAGTCTCAAGGCCAATTGTCTGAATTAAGGAATGGAAGTTGCTGTCCTTGGAAAAGAGGGAGAGACACATGTGAGAAGTAAATGTGGGGTGAAAAGAAATAAAGCATCATAATACAAATCTTACTAGGCCGCAGTCACTATCCTTGAATTTTGTATGTATTATCTTAGTTAATAATCAAACCCAGAATTTAATTACCATTATGATTTCCTTTTACAAATGAAGAAATTAGGCAAGCCAATTATTCTACCTTTAGTGAATATTTAGCTAACGTGGAAGATGGAATTTGACCCCAGGTCTGCCTGCCTCTAACCTGACTCATACTTTTTACAGCCCTGTAATATAGCCTCTTGTAAACAGAATTTAAGCCATGTATCGGGATATACTGTGATTGCAGAAATGATAACATACATCATTAGACTGAGAAAGGAGACTCATCTAAGCAACTGAGAAGAAGGTGAGGAAAACCATATCCCTGTAGTTAAGGCCTGCTTGGGCTTTGCAGAGCCTGAACTAAATTTGCATCCCAGCTCTAACATTTCCTCTTGTGCAAAATTGTTCTGGGACTTTCACCTCTCTAAATCTTGGGTACCTTTTGTTTAAAATGTAAACAATAAGGCAGCTTTTAGTACCAAAATAATAATAATAATAATAATAATAATAATAATAATAATTGCTTCAAACATTTACCACAGATTCTAATGAATAGTTATGTGGATATATCATTGTTATTATTGTTACATTGGTTAAATAGCAAGGGTACTATTACCTAAAAGATTAGTTACATATTGTTAAAGATGAAGAACAAAATACCTTTGTGATCATAGAAGGAATTTACATAGACAAATGAAGTCTTGGGTACAAAATTAGCAGCCAAAAGGGCCTGAGTCCTGGAGTCAGATAGATCAGAATTTCAATTCTAACCTGCCACTTGCAAGTCCTATGATCTTGTCCAAATTAATTAGTCTATTTAAGCTTCATTTTTTTACATCTATAAATGATATTAGTAATAGCAGTGTGGAATAATCTGTTACCAGATTGATTTAGATTATAATGTTATAATTGATAACAATCTAGTCTAAATGTCCTTCATATATGTCTAAATTTAATTCCTTTAGTTTATAAAAACTGATTTCACTCCTTATTAGGTTACAAAAACCCAGGTAGTTTTAATTGCTAATTATGTTTCTTTGAAACCACTCAGTATATGTTAGCTGTTCCAATAGCTGTAAGATGAGAAAGTTGTACTTCTACTAACCTGTTACATGGAAGTTTAAAAATATAATCTTGCTATGAAAGTTGTTTTCATGCCAAATAGCTAATAATTTTATTGTTATTTTTTGGTCAATTTTTGTAAATTCAAAGAAAATGAAATCTTCCTTACTTGACTTTTAAAAATCCCAGACTGCAATATCTTTTACAGAAGGAAAAATATGGAGTGCAACTTCAAATACTAGTAAGATTTTAGAGCTATATATAGAGGAAAAAATACCAAAATTATTATACACCAAAGCACTCTGGTAATAATCCTTCTAGGTCTAGTCAAGACATTGTTTGGCACTGGAGTACAGAAGGTGATTTATTATAGATATCAATTTTACTTTCTGATATGGCCTTTATTGAAATTTTCCCTAGTATTTCTCCCTTTATGGAAATGCTCCTTCCTCTCAGGAAAGCTATGAAGAAATTGCTGACTGTTTGTCATGTAAAATACTTATATTATTTCATTCTGTTGTCTATGAAAAAGTTCTTTATACAACCTAAAATTTAACCCTGAATTTTTACAGCACAGAGAAGCCTTGGAAATGAAATAGAAATGAAAATATAGTATTTTCAATTATATTGGGGAAAAAAATAAAGATCCAAGCCAAAACCACAAAGGTCTTTTATAGCCACACACAAACAGAGGGGAAAAGAGAAAGAATGTATTCAATCCCCAAACTGAAGACAAGGATAAGGAAGTATTACGACTTTCAACTCTCATTTGCGGTGCTTCTACCTCAAAGCATCATCACATATCATAAGTTCATGTTCTGCAACAGTAATGATGCAGTTTCAAATATAATGATAGAGGAAAGTGAGCCATATGAAAAAGCAGCAGGAAATTGTTGTGCCGAAATCTAACTTCTTTTAGGAAAAGGATTTAATGGGAATCTCACTGTGCATAAAAACAAGTTATTTAGACATAGGTAAATTGACATTTCAGTCATTTCAACTCTTTGTGGCTTGTGCACGGATATTATCTCACGTGTGAATTGAGTCCTCACAACTTCTTGCCTAATTATATATCGGGATATATGATTAAAATGAGTCCATGTACTAAATCATACAAACAGTGACCCAAAAGTACTTAGACTAGTTTCCACCTATTTTGGCAGCTTCAGATAACAACTTTAATTTTTTTTTTTTTGCAGAGTGGAAAAGAATGAAATAAAAGAAACAATTGTCATCTAATATGTAACCTCAAATATGAGAAAATTAATATTTATAATGAATAAAGAACAAATATATTTGTGTGAGTATGACTTGACAAAACATACCACAAACATATAATATAATTAAATATGCATGTAATAGTGAAAGAAATTAAAACAAAACAATCTTAGAATATAAATCTTATTTTAAAAATGTATTAAAAATTATGTAGTATGTAATGTTGATGAGAATGTGATGAAGCTAGCACATTTAAACATAGGAGGTGATGTTGTAAATTTTTGCAGCTATCTTGGAAAATATTCTGGCAATATGTGTGAAAGAAAATCATGATACTCATATTTTTGATATTAGAATTTATCTGGAACAGTTTGAGAAAAAAAGGACCTAAAGTTTTTATAGAGCCATGTCTATAATACTGAAGCTATCTCTAACAATACATTTCTAAAAACCTGACCAAAAAAGTGAAACCATGACTCCAGTAATGTTATGGTGGTTTAAATTTTGGAATGCTAGTTTAATAAAAGTATCGTGTAAGCCTTTCAAATAGTATCCATTAAGAATATGTAGAAAGTTATAATAATAACTAACATTATAAAAAATTTACTATTTATAAAGTGATTTCATTTATTGCATCTGACCCTGAGGCAAGTAGTCAAAGAGAATAGTCAAAGGGAGCATAATGTAGAAGATAAGAGCGTGGGTCCTAGAAATATACAGGTATTATTCCAACCCCAGCTTATAAACCATGTAACTTTTGGCATATTTTTCATCCTCTCTCTGGTTCTTGGTTTGTTATCTGTAGGAATGAGAATAATAATTAGACGTACTCCTATGGAATTCTTCAGAAGATTTAGATAAGGCATTCAGTTATAGAAAACTTATTATTCCATTGTTCAGATAATAAAACTGGCCACCAGAAAAACATGTATTGTCTAATATGATTTATTTACTAAGTTTTAGCATCAGAATTTGATTTCAGGTAACCAGATAACACATCTGTCAAAAATATGATATGCTATTTTTGTCTGTGCATAGTATGTATTTTGCTGCCTCAACAAGAGAATATAATCTCCTAAAAAAAGCAAAGAAAAGAAAAGAAGAAAGAAAACTTGAGTCATATACATGTTTTATTTCTTCCATCCCCTATTAGTGTGCAATGAACGTAATATGAGTAAATAACCTTAAAGGAATGATGTTCCTTAAATTAGTAATTCCCTTGGCACAGGTCTAACAAGATGACCGAGATCATTTAAAGTGCCCCAGTTTGAACTTCCTCAACTTACTTCACTTCGGTACAAAAGTTTTTGTATTCTTTGGCCCTCCATCGTTATTTCTTGGAAAGATACATCTGCCACCAGTTTCCTGGTGATTCATTGCATTGCCTCCAAACTAAAAGCATTATCATTCTTTCAGTCATCTGGTCTAATGACATGGCTTATGATACAATAAAAATGGGAGATACAATATTTCAGCTACATGAAATTTACATGAAATTTAGGTGCATGCAGGAAAAAAAAACTGTGATTAGCAATCAAGGGATTGCTAATTTAAGGTTACGGGCTAATATGTCAACTTCTAATGTTATTATTATTTGGTGCTATAAAAATTTGAGAGAAAAAGAAGAATAGGAAAAGAAAAACAATGCTGGTAAGGAAATTATCCCCCTGCCCCAACTGCCTATATATTTTGTTGTACTGTAAAACATATATTTTTGCATAATAAAAATCATAGGGCTGGATATATGATTTATTTTAACCATATGCTTGCCTGTGTCCTATACCTTTTGTCCAGTTTACTCTTTTCTACATAATTTTCAAAATTAGTGGATGTTTTATGCATAAAAGTTTATGGAATGTTTTAAATTCGTGGGTTCTTTTTGTCACTTTTCTGGAATTGTTGCAATACATTATAGAAGTAATCATTGTAGGATAATTACAAGTGATTCACTTTAGTGTCAGTGAGAGAAAGGTTATATCTATTTTAGGTAGACCCCAATAATTTATTTCACAACCATAACAATAAAATTGAAGTGAATTTGTGATAATCCATTTAAATTGTTAAGAATAACAGTATTTGTGAATTGCCTTATCTGCATTTGGTTCATTGTGTGTGGGAAGATATCATCACTAATGGAAGAGTTTGCTTTGGACATAATATATGACTTTTCCTAGAAAAAAGATCATGAAGAAAAAGAAACAATTTATATGGAACCTATGTAAGTAGTAGAAAAGAATAATTCTCAAACTTAAAAATTTATTTTAGTCACACTATGGCCTAATGATGCCCAACTTTTGTACACGCATTGCAATTTTTCTTCCACAATCTGTGTAATATTAAGTACACAATTCCTGAGAAAATTGCCCTTTACAGAGCTCCACCACAAAATACAGGAGGAAAACAAAAAAATGTTCAACTGTACTTCAATTTCATAACACATGGGTATATACAGTCTTAGGTTCTTGTCTAAGGTCAAACACAATAACTGTATTTATCAGTTGAATACCGTATTCTATGTAGAACTGTTGTCAAATGGATCTTTGAATCCTTCTTCATCCTACTAACTCTAATAAGTGTGTAATATCCTTTTCAGATCATTAATTATTCATGAATATATTATTAATTTATAAACATGATTTCCCTTTGGTAAATTTAGTTTCTCTTTGACATATTCTATTCTAGAGCTTGGTGGCAGTAAATATCTTTTTTACGTATGTTATATAATTGTATCTTACCTGTCATTCTGATGCCTCTTCTCAAAGACTCTGTTTTCACTGTCACTGTTGGCTGAACAATGAGCCACAGCACAACCCCACAGGTTGGCCATACTAAAATGTACTAAGAGTGTATAAGAGGTTGGGCCAATCTGATTATCTCAGCTAAAACTTTGAAAAAAAGACTCAGGAACAGTCACTAGGAGATAGATAGATAGACACATACATACATACATACATATGTACATACATACATGATAAGTAGATATGAATAGTCCCATGATCTAGCATCTGCAAGCTGAAGACCAGAAAAGCTAGTGGTATAATTCAGTTTATGCCTGAAAATCTAAGAATTATGGGAGATGATGGTATAAATTCTAGTCCAAAAGCAGAAGACCAATGTCCCAACTCAAATAAGCAAGAAAGAAAACAGTTCTCCTTTCGTCTGCTTTTTGTTATATTGAGACCATCAAGAGATTGGATGATGCCACTCTCAGACACTCGCAGAAATAATGTTTAATCTGGAGACTGTGGCTCAGTCAAGCTGACACACAAAATGAACAATGATACAGAGAGAAACAATGGGCACAGAGAAACAGAAGAGAGAACAAATATTTTCTGTGTCCCTATATTGGATTACTACATTTCATATGATTTGTTTAATAAAATTAATTACATATCTGCCTGAAAAATGCATTTTAGGCTTTTATCTTCATGACTCCAAGCAAAAACATCACCATAGAATAGAGAGTTTTCTGATGACATTTTAATGGTGATCTAAGTTAGTATACAATTTGGCTAAGCACATCTGGAGAGATCTTATTGTTAGCCCTCAACAAACCATTCTAATATGAAGTACTTTGTCATGGTTCATTTGGTTTTGTTGTATACACTCACACAGAGGGTGTGAATTCACTAGTAGAGATCCTTTGAAAGAGATCCTACACAAACTTTGCAAGGAGAATAGTGTCTCAGCATTTAGACCCCCAACTTTTCAATAGGCCTACATAATTATTTTTAGGCCTAAGGAAAAAGTCAATTTCTGGTTCGTATGTGGCTGATATGAAGGAAAGTCCCAAGTAAAAGAAAATCCAGCTTCCAATAAATCATACATATGGCCAGAAAGAACAGTGCATTTACTACCAGCATAATAGCCTATACGTCTCCAATTAATGGCCCAATGAACTGGAAAAATGCACAACTTCTCCATGAAGCCAGATAAAAACATCTACTTCACAGGGCTGTTGTTGAATATTAGATGTGGTGATATAAATCAAATGATTTTCAAATTACAAATAAGTTCAAAGAAGTATCATTTCTTGTATATTTTCATGAGCAATTTCTTGTTCATGACCAGGTAGGCATACTTCATTTGTGCAGTTGCTAATATAAACTCCATTACCCACTTTACTTTGGTTTATACCATAATACTGCATGTACCTAATTCAGTTTATCTCTCCAAGGAATGGAAAAGTGCATTCTGCTTGCTTCCTGTCAAAAAAGGTAGAGTTTATTCTTGCCACTGAGAGTTTACTGGGCTTGTAGTGGAGTACTAAGGTGGTTCTGGGCCCCATAAATATAGACTATTTGAATTTTATAATCTCTATATTATTGAATAAGTAGCTAAAAATATCATTAACACTAATTATCTAACTTAATCTCTATAATTGAAATTATTAACTAGAGATTATTGTTTAGAAATTATTGCAATATATATTTTAATAGACTTCAGTTCATTACTGAAAATAGCATATTTGTAAATGTATGAGTTTGCTTATATAAACATATGTCCTGTAGACTTAGAAATTTTGGAACACAAAATGTTAATGCCACATAGACTTATATAAAATTATGTATATACACATAGAATCCTATGTTTACATATACATAAAATATATAATCAATATATAACATTGAAATAAATATATGGTTTATTGATCAAATACCCAGGCATAATATGGAAATATTGCCTAAGTGAAATTAATTTCACCTCATTAATGAAATAGCAAATGAAGTTAAACACCAAATGTAATGCCCAAGGAAAACCGTGCGTAGAGAGACATACAGGAACTATGAAGTTTTTTAGCCATTTGAACAATTTCGACATTGTTTTAAGGAAGCTAAAAGATTACTCTTTGATAAATTTGCTTCTTTATGTTCACTGTAACATGGAAGCAAATATGTTAAGAACAGTAGTGGAGTAATTCCAAGGGTCTTCAGGAATATCTGGATTGCCACTCAATGTAGATACCTTGTCTTAAAAATTTTTTTTTAAATAGAAAAACTCCTGAAGTCTATAAATCATAAACAAAAGCTGTTGTGCAGAAATAATACAAATTATGGATAGAAGTAGCAGAAATTGAACTAATTTCATAGAATAAGTTTTGAAGTAATGTAATTTTGCTACTTCTATATTCCATCAATAAACAATACAGTGTAGTACATTAAATTATACTGGTATAGTTCCTCTGTTATATTTTCAGTTTATTTAAAAATAGACAAATGACAGAAGTAAAATCATCAAAGCATCCTTTTTTTCCCCCATAGGTTTCAGTCACATATACTGTTCCTTTGCTTTTAGTTGATTCCTATCATAGAGTTGTTCTACACATAGGATTTCCTCATCGTAGCCTAGGTGAAACCTAGCCTTGATGAAACATTTATAGTTCACCAGTGCTTTTTGTCCAGGCAGTGTTTTCTTTAAGACTTTTGAAATACTGCCAATTGTTAAATCATTTTTATAGCAAATGCAGACTGAACATATACTACAAGTTTCTGAAAATCCCATAAAAAATTAAAGTCAATTAGTGACCCCAGTAATTGTGCACTGACCTTTAGAGTACAATAAACCTGTATTTGGCTTGCTCATAAAAAATGGAATAATACTTTCTAAAGACCCATGCCCAGTAGCAGTAACAATGAAATACCTGTGGTAGTTATGAGAGAAAACAAAAATAGGAATTAGGAAAAGATTCAATTTTTCCTGAAAGAAAATGCTAACGATGGGCCACACCTTGACAATAAGGTCATGTGTTGAAGGAGGGAAATATGTTAGAGTAGTAAGAAAACCTTTCATTTAAGTGCTATGCAATTCAGGTTCACGTAGAGTTGGAAGGAAAATAAATCTTCCAATCTTAGATGTGCCAAACACAGAAATTAATGGTAGTCTCAAAATATTATGTGTGTTGGTTTCCTATTGCTACTATAATAATTACTGCAAACTTAGTGTCTTAAAACAACACCAATTTCTTATCTTCCCATTCAGGAGGTCATAAGTCTACCAGGTGTTGGTAGGACTGTATTCTTTCTGGAAGCTCCAGGAGGAAATCAATTTCCTTGTTTTTCTAGCTTCTGGAAATGCCCACATTCCTAAGCTTGTGGCCCCTTCCTCCATCTTCAAGGCCAACAGTATAGCATCTTCTCTTATCTCCAACCTCCTCTTCCATCTTCAAATCTTCTTGTCTGACTCTGTTTTTCCAACCTCCCTCTTAGTTTTTTTAAACCTCATTTATTTATTTTGTGAGAGAGAGGGAGAGAGAAAATGAGTGGAGGAGGGGCAGAGAGAAAGGGAAAGAGAGAAAATACCAAGCAGGCTCTGCGCTCCCCACTTAGCCCAACCCCGTGGCTCAGTCTCATGTTGGTGAGATGATGACCTGAGCCAAAATCAAGAGTCAGACCCTGAACCAACTGAGTCACCCAAACTCCCTTTTCTAAGAACCCATAATTATGTTGGCCCCACCTGATTGGATAATCTACGATAATCTTATTGTCATAAGATCCTTAATTGAATCACTTTAATAAAATTATGTAAAGTAACATATTCACAGGTTCCAGGGATTAGGACATAAGAGTTTTTGGAGAGGCAGTTATTCAGCCCATGAATATATATACATACATTCAATTAAGAGAATTACCTTTCCTTACTTTCCAGCAGACTAAAGCCCTTGGAAATCTAGGTTCTATAATGGGCTACAAGTCAGCCTGTTTAATTTGTTTCATTTAATCAAAGAACTCTGAACAAAAACCCTTTGCTTCTATTTAAAATTG